ATCCCTTTGCATTGAAAATGTGTCTTTCCCTTTAATTAGTTAAAACTTCCTTACAGTTCAGATCAATATGAACAGCCTACTACATACATGTTCTTACCCAACACGACTCAGGCCTAAAGCGGAGAACAATAGTATGCAGTGTCGACACATAAGGACTAAATCGGAAAAGAAAATATGAAAAGACAATAACATAAGCTGAAGAGACATTTACACAGAAGAGAAGACAACGGGTTTCCCAAATATACTGTAGGTGAAACCAGGTGTTCCAGAAACCTAACCGTTTCTAGGGCGTCTGCTAATCCGGGGTATTCTACACGTGAGAGATTACAAGATATAGTGGAGTCCCCAAGGGAATCCCGTGGGATTTTTTTGAAGGAAGCTAGAGGTGGTGATTTTCTGAAAAGTAATGGTGTCCTAAATCAAAAAAAGTTTGTTGTCATTCTGACAACTGCGTCGGGTCAATTTGATGACGTCATCAAAATGGCGGCCATAGCAACAAGATTTTGCCATAAAATTCTGGCGTAACAAATACATTTAAGTAAATATTTCGCAAAATTTGGTTTTATTAAGAGTACAAATTGTGGTTTCCTGATATAACATAATTGATTATAGCGTTTTTCTTCACCGGAAGTGGTAAAATTAAGAAATATGCAAAATGGCGGCCATAGCAACCAATTTTAAACACTAAAAAAATTGCATTATTAATACATTCATAGGTTTTGTCGAAAAAATTGGTTCATAAATGGTAGAAGGTTGTTGTTCAATGATGTTACATGTAAATCCTGCACTTTTATCAATTTTTCGCTCTAGCGGAAGTAGTCAAATTTAGGAAATAATCAAAATGGCGGCCATAGCAACCAGATTTTGCAAAAAACTTCTAGCAAAACAAATGCATTTAAGCATATATTTCGTAAAATATGTTTTTATTAAGAGTACAAATTGTGGTTTCCTGATATAACATAATTGATTATAGCGTTTTTCTTCACCGGAAGTGGTAAAATTAAGAAATATGCAAAATGGCGGCCATAACAACCGATTTCAAACACTAGCAGAAAGGCATAATTAATATATTTATAGGTATTGTCGCAAAAATAGTTCATAAAGGGCAGAAGGTTGTTGTCCAATGATGTGGCAAGTAAATCCTGCATTTTAATCAATTTTCGCTTCACGGTAAGTGGTAAAATTAAGGAAATAATCAAAATGTCTGTCATAGCAACCGATAAGTTTAAGAAATTTTCCTTTAGCAACATGGCATACAAATGTGCATTTCGTTTAAAAATAAACGTTCATAAAATGAAACATATTTACATTATTTGTCGATGCATAAGTGGGAATTCCAAAAAAGTCTTCGAAGCTTTTGTCCTTGTGAGATTCACATAATCTCTTCCATATCATTGTTTTCATACATCAATCGGCCGAACGGTGTGTTTTCACACGTGTCATCATCTGCCTCACACTGGCAAAGTTCGGTACAAAACAAGTTGTTTGATTTGCATTTGCACTTATTTGATGAGCATAGACTTGTTTTGCACTTACATAAAATAAGTTCAAGCATTGCAGTTGGTGCGGGAGGCAGGGAAGTCATGATCGGAACATAACTATCATTTTCCTCTTTCCATCCAAACAGGTTGACGAAAGTTTATGTAAATCCCTATGACCTGATTCCCACGATTACCTTTCAGGGCTACTCGTGCACGCTTACCCTAAAGAGTACCTAGATTCGTCATTATTTTTAGTGGGTTCATTTTCCCCATTTCTCAATGTGCAATTAAGATTGAAAGTTACTCGCGTTTTTAACTAAACATATTTTTGAGAACAGATGTAAGTGAGACTTGTAAACACACTACGGTAGTGTTACCTGTGTCTAACAACCGCTCTCCAAAGCCGTGTTATCAAGCCTGAGGAATCCGTTACTGAGGAGCTGGTTTCTATTCGTTTATGCAAACGGTCTTTAATTGCAAACAAAACGAGCTGAAATGATAAGTGTAATAGGGAATACAAATGTTAGTTTATACATATCCAATGGCATTCCATAGTAAAAAGTAGATATGAAGAAATTTAAAGTTTCCATCAAAAGTTAATTTTCAAATATCTTAAAGCTAATATATAACAAACTATATGTAGTAATAAAACTTAATATCAATATAAGCTACTGATTTATTATTGTGGTATCACATACTCACCTGAGCTGCTATATCATTGTGGTATCACATACTCACTTGAGCTGCTATATCATTGCGGTACCACATACTTACCTGAGCTGCTATATCTTTGTGGTACCACATACTCATCTGAGCTGCTATATCATTGTGGTAGCACATACTCAGCTGAGCTGCTATATCATTGTGTTACCACATACTCGCCTGAGCGGCTATATCATTGTGGTATCACATACTCGCCTGAGCGGCTATATCATTGTGGTACGACATACTCCCCTGAGGTGCTATATCATTGTGGTGCGACATACTCACCTGAGCCGCTATATCATTGTGGTACCACATGCTCACCTGAGCTGCTATATTAACACACAGGTATGCCAGCGTCAGTCCATACATCCCTCGGTAGATGTCTCTATCCGATAACTGTAAATATAGAATTGAACTATTATACATGTATACAACATACTTTAAAACCCATTACATATCTTCACTAGTTCTAATTGATTATAAATACATGGTGTTCAATAAGTCGATTATAATTACTTATAATATATATCTGAATGGTTTATCAAGTACTTACATCTCTTTCAAAGCGAATACTATATTATATTTGACAGGTAGAAATAGCCACGGCTCCTACACACACAAAAGGAAAATAGAAATACATACCCACTATCAAATATAACTGTCTAATAATAACCCATCCGTTTATATGTCTATAAATACTGTCTAATACTAACCCATCCTAACACATGTCTATAAATACTGTTTAATACTAACCCATCCTCACATATGTATATAAATACTGTCTAATACTAACCCATCCTAACACATTTCTATAAATACTGTTTAATACTAACCCATCCTCACATATGTCTATAAATACTGTCTTATACTAACCCATCCGTATACATGTTCATAAATACTGTCTAATACTAACACATTCTTACACATGTCTATAAATACTATCTAATACTAACTCAACCGTATCTATGTTTATAAATACTGTCTAATACTAACCCATCCATATATATGTCTATAAATACTATCTTATATTAACCCATCCGTATATATATAGAGAATAATACATGCCTATTTTCATATCACACCCAGTATCAACCCGAGACTGCAATATCAGCCCAAGGGCCGAAGGCCCGAGGGCTGATATTGGTCGAGGGTTGATACTGGGGGTGATATGGAAAAAGGCATGTTTTATTCTGTTTATTACATACTTACTAATAAATTACGGATAGGTCTACTATCTCAGATCTATTTTTCTTTTGAAATACATGTATTGAAAAACGAAAAAAGACATAAAGTGATAACGCTAAACACAAAAATAACTCGATTATAATATATTTATTACATATGGAGTGATTTTGATTCAATTCAAAGTTTCTCTAATCTAATCCGAATCACTGTCGCTGTAGATGATTCTGCTGTATCGCCTCTTTGGGGCTTTGTCATTGGGGTCTCTGGCAAAGTTGAAGATTATATTTCCAATGACATTGGCACCCGCCAAGATATTTCGCGCTTGGTCTTGTTGCCCAACGTTTGCAACCGTATTTGACTTTGTTTGTTGTACAGTTTTTATATTCTCATACGCTTCGATCTCTCTGAAGGTTTCCGCAACTATCTGCTATGAATATCTCCCGGAATTACCCGAGTTGTGATCAAAGTCAATGTTCTCTAATTTTTCGGTGCTAATGGCTATATCTGAAGTTGAAGAGGGTGCATTGTAATTTGTGAGTATAGAGAACATTTCTTTCTGTTGCTGGTGTGAAGCATGACTATATTTGATGATGGAATTCACATTCTTATGACCGGACAGTTGCTGGACTATTGTCGGAGGAATTCCTGGATTTACGAGGGACGTAATCGCTGTCTTGCGTGCACTGTGGTTAACCTTTCTGCCCTCTATCCAAGCTTCAATACACATTGTTTTTACAATGCTTCCTATTATGTTTTTACCCATTGGCTGATTGTCAAACCATTTACCATATAATAAATGTCCATAAATACTGTTTAATACTAACCCATCCGTATATATGTTTATAAATACTGTTTAATACTAACCCATCCGTATACATGTTCATAAATACTGTCTAATACTAACCCATTCTTACACATGTCTATAAATACTGTCTAATACTAACTCAACTGTATATATGTTTATAAATATTGTTTAATACTAACTCATCCGTATATGTGTCTATAAATACTGTCTAATACTAACTCAACCGTATATATGTTTATAAGTACTGTTAAATACTAACCTATTCTTACACATGTCTATAAATACTGTCTAATACTAACCCATCCGTATATATGTTTATAAATACTGTCTAATACTAACCCATCCTTATACATGTCTATAAATACTGTCTAATACTAACCCATTCTTACACATGTCTATACATACTGTCTTATACTAATACATCCGTAAACATGTCTATACATACTGTACAATACTAACCCATTTTTACACATGTTTATACATACTGTCTAATACTTACCCATCCGTATATATGTTTATAAATACTGTTTAATACTAACCCATCCGTATATATGTCTATAAATACTGTCTAATACTAACACATACTAACACATGTCAATAAATACTGTCTAATACTAACCCATTCTCACATATGTCTATCAATACTGTCTAATACTAACCCATCCGTAAACATGTCTATAAATACTGTCTAATACTAACCTATCCTAACATATGTCTATACATACTGTATAATACTAACCCATTTTTACACATGTCTATACATACTGTCTAATACTAACCCATCCGTATATATGTCCATAAATACTGTCTAATACTAACACATACTAACACATGTCAATAAATACTGTCTAATAGTAACCAATTCTTACACATGTTCATAAATACTGTCTAATACTAACCCATCTTAACACATGTCTATAAATACTATTTAATACTAACCCATTCTTACACATGTTCATAAATACTGTCTAATACTAACCCATCCGTAAACATGTCTATAGATACTGTTTAATACTAACCCATTCTTACATATGTCTATAAATACTGCCTAATACTAACCCATTATTACACATGTCTATAAATATTGTCTAATACTAACGCATTCTTACACATGTCAATTATTACTGTCTGATACTAACCAATTCTTACACATGTCTATAAATACTGTCTAATACTAACTCATCCGTATATGTGTCCAAAAATAATGTCTAATACTAACCCATCTTAACACATGTCCATAAATAATGTCTAATACTAACCCATCCGTATATATGTCTATAATTATTGTCTAATACTTACCCATTCTTACATATGTCTATAAATACTGTCTCATACTAACCCATTCTTACATATGTCTATAAATACTGTCTAATACTAAACCATTCTTACACATGTCTATCAATAATGTCTAATATTAACTCATCCGTATATACTTATCCCCTATCATATTACCGTCTAATACTAAACCCACCCTTGTACAATTCTTATACTTATCCACTATCATATTACCGTCTGATACTAAACCACCCATGTACAAATCTTATACTTATCCACTATCATATTACCGTCTAATACTAAACCCACCCTTGTACAAGTCTTATACTTATCCACTATCATATTACCGTCTGATACTAAACCCACCCTTGTACAAGTCTTATACTTACATGTATGCCCTATCATATTACCGTCTTATACTAAGCCCACCCTTGTACAATTCTTATACTTATCCACTATCATATTACCGTCTGATACTAAACCACCCATGTACAAATCTTATACTTATCCACTATCATATTACCGTCTAATACTAAACCCACCCTTGTACAAGTCTTATACTTACATGTATGCCCTATCATATTACCGTCTAATACTAAACCCACCCTTGTACAGGTCTTATACTTATCCACTATCATATTACCGTCTGATACTAAACCCACCCATGTACAAAACTTATACTTATCCACTATCATATTACCGTCTGATACTAAACCCACCCATGTACAAATCTTATACTTACATGTATGCCCTATCATATTACCGTCTCATACTAAACCTACCCTTGTACAAGTCTTATACTTATCCCTTATCATATTACCGTCTAATACTAAACCCACCCTTGTACAAGTCTTATACTTACATGTATGCCCTATCATATTACCGTCTCATACTAAACCTACCCTTGTACAAGTCTTATACTTATCCCTTATCATATTACCGTCTAATACTAAACCCACCCTTGTACAGGTCTTATACTTATCCACTATCATATTACCGTATAATACTTACATGTATGCCCTATCATATTACCGTCTTATACTAAGCCCATCCTTGTACAATTCTTATACTTATCCACTATCATATAACCGTCTGATACTAAACCCACCCATGTACAAATCTTATACTTACATGTATGCCCTATCATATTACCGTCTTATACTAAACCTACCCCTGTACAAGTATTATACCCTATCATATTACCGTCTAATACTAAACCCACCCTTGTACAGGTCTTATACTTATCCACTATCATATTACCGTATAATACTTACATGTATGCCCTATCATATTACCGTCTTATACTAAACCTACCCTTGTACAAGTCTTATACCCTATCATATTACCGTCTAATACTAAACCCACCCTTGTACAAGTCTTATACTTATCCACTATCATATTACCGTCTAATACTAAACCACCCTTGTACAAGTCTTATACTTATGCCGTGTAATTCTAAACCCACCCTTATACAAGTCTTATACTTCTCCACTATCATATTACCGTCTAATACTAAACCCACCCTGATACAAGTCTTATACTTCTCCACTATCATATTACCGTCTAATACTTAACCCACCCTTGTACAGGTCTTATACTTATCCACTATTATATTACCGTATAATACTTACATGTATGCCCTATCATATTACCGTCTTATACTAAACCTACCCTTGTACAAGTCTTATACCCTATCATATTACCGTCTAATACTTAACCCACCCTTAAACAAGTCTTATATTTCTCCAATATCATATGACCGTCTAATACTAAACCCACCCTTGTACAAGTCACATACTTCTCTACTATCATATTACCGTCTAATACTAAACCCACCCTGATACAAGTCTTATACTTATGCCGTGTAATTCTAAACCCACCCTTATACAAGTCAGGGTTAGGGTTAGGGTTTAGGTTAGGGTTAGGGTTATATATACAATTCTAATAAAAACCGTCTCAGATACATGCATGTCTTTTACAATTTCTTCTTCATGCATATGATATGTAAATTAAAAGCCCGTTACGATAAAAAAAAATCACCGTAATACGTTTATATCAACAAAAAACTTACCCTGATACTCTCCAATAGTTGTGCATACAGGCCCAAGATGACGCTGTCAACAACCAGACGCAATATCTCGGGCAGTGTACTCTGATAAAACACACAAAGTAAGGATTATCCTAATTATTTCGTTTAATAGTATTTCACGTAATAACCGTTGGTACCAGTAAACGATATTAGTAAATTTCCAATAAATACTCTAATACTGGCGTCAACGTTAGTAACATTTATATTCAATTGTAACGTTCCCGGCGTCAATCTTAGTGACATTTATATATAACTATGACATACCCGACGTCAATCATAGCGACATTTATATATAATTATGACATACCCGACGTCAACCTTAGTGACATTTATATATAATTATAACATACCCGACGTCAACCCAAGTGACATTTATATATAATTATAACATACCCGATGTGAACCTTAGTGACATTTATACATAAGTATAACATACCCGATGTCAACCTTAGTGACATTTATATATAACTATGACATCCCCGACGTCAACCTCAGTGACATTTATATATAATTATAACAAATACCTTAGTGACTTTTATATATAATTATGACATACCCGACTCCAACCTTAGTGACACTTATATATAATTATAACATACCCGACGTCAACCCCAGTGACATTTATATATAACTATGACATACCCGACGTCAACCCTAGTGACATTTATATATAAGTATAACATACCCGATGTCATCCTTAGTGACATTTATATATAACTATGACATCCCCGACGTCAACCTTAGTGACATTTATATATAACTATGACATACCCGACGTCAATCATAGCGACATTTATATATAATTATGACATGCCCGACGTCAACCTTAGTGACATTTATATATAACTATGACATACCCGACGTCAACCCTAGTGACATTTATATATAAGTATAACATACCCGACGTCAACCTTAGTGACATTTATATAAAAGTATAACATACCCGACGTCAACCTTAGTGACATTTATATATAACTATGACATACCCGACGTCAACCCTAGTGACATTTATATATAATTATAACATATACCTTAGTGACTTTTATATATAATTATGACATACCCGACTCCAACCTTAGTGACACTTATATATAATTATAACATACCCGACGTCAACCCAAGTGACATTTATATATAATTATAACATACCCGATGTGAACCTTAGTGACATTTATATATAAGTATAACATACCCGACGTCAACCCTAGTGACATTTATATATAATTATAACATATACCTTAGTGACTTTTATATATAATTATGACATACCCGACTCCAACCTTAGTGACACTTATATATAATTATAACATACCCGACGTCAACCCCAGTGACATTTATATATAACTATGACATACCCGACGTCAACCTCAGTGACATTTATATATAACTATGACATACCCGACGTCAATCATAGCGACATTTATATATAATTATGACATGCCCGACGTCAACCTTAGTGACATTTATATATAACTATGACATACCCGACGTCAACCCTAGTGACATTTATATATAATTATAACATATACCTTAGTGACTTTTATATATAATTATGACATACCCGACTCCAACCTTAGTGACACTTATATATAATTATAACATACCCGACGTCAACCTTCGTGACATTTATATATAATTATAACATACCCGATGTCAACCTTAGTGACATTTATATATAACTATGACATACCCGACGTCAACCCTAGTGACATTTATATATAATTATAACATACCCGATGTGAACCTTAGTGACATTTATATATAAGTATAACATACCCGATGTCAACCTTAGTGACATTTATATATAACTATGACATACCCGACGTCAACCCTAGTGACATTTATATATAATTATAACATACCCGGAGTCAACCCTAGTGATATTTATATATAATTATAACATATACCTTAGTGACTTTTATATATAATTATGACATACCCGACTCCAACCTAAGTGACATTTATATATAATTATAACATACCCGGCGTCAATCTTAGTGACATTTATATATAACTATAACATACCCGACGTCAACCTTAGTGACATTTATATATAATTATAACAAACCCGATGTCAACCTTAGTGACATTTATATATAAGTATAACATACCCGACGTCAACCCTAGTGACATTTATATATAATTATAACATACCCGACGTCAACCTTAGTGACATTTATATATAATTATAACATACCCGACGTCAACCTTAAGCTTAGTGACATTTATATATAATTATAACATACCCGACGTCAACCTTAAGCTTAGTGACATTTATAAATACCTACAACATACTCGACGACATCATTGTTAGTTTTCATTTGTTGTTATGATTGTCTATATTCTAATTCAGTGTCATTTTATGATGTTACAACTTACCCACAGTAAACCCGTATCATATTTAATGACACACCAGACCACTTTGCACACGTTGAATATTGATGAAATGGGAATGATCACAAGCAGTGTGATGCTCGCTCCTCGCGTCATCTCGGCCAGGTATAGCGTACCCACGTACATCCCGTCCAGCTGACTGTCGTATCTTACAACGTACAATAATATCGCTATCCAGGCCGAAATGTCTATCGCCTACAAACGTAAACAGGTAAACGTCACTTTTATATAAAAATAACTGTTATACAGTCCGCCATGTCTATCGCCTACAAACGTCAACAGGTAAACGTCACTTTTATATAAAAATAACTGTGATACAGTCCGCCATGTCTATCGCCTACAAACGTCAACAGGTAAACGTCACTTTTATATAAAAAAATAACTGTTATACAGGCCGCCATGTCTAACGCCTACAAACGTCAACAGGAAAACGTCACTTTTGAATAAAAAGAACTGTTATACAGTCCGCCATGTCTATCGCCTACAAACGTCAACAGGAAAACGTCACTTTTGAATAAAAATAACTGTTATACAGTCCGCCATGTCTATCGCCTACAAACGTCAACAAGAAAACGTCACTTATATATAAAATAACTGTTATACAGGCCGCCATGTCTATCGCCTACAAACGTCAACAGGAAAACGTCACTTTTAAATAAAAATAACTGTTATACAGGCCGCCATGTCTATCGCCTACAAACGTCAACAGGAAAACGTCACTTATAAATAAAAATAACTGTTACACAGTCCGCCATGTCTATCGCCTACAAACGTCAACAGGAAAACGTCACTTATATATAAAAATAACTGTTATACAGGCCGCAATGTCTATCGCCTACAGCATGAATTATGATCCGTCACTTTATCATCAATACTGCTACAAAGGCCGACATGTATACTTCAAATGTCTACACAATTACGTTGTCAATCATTTCAAACGAAAAGATGACAACAAAAAACATAATAACTATTCAATAAGAAATTTAATCAATCCCTTATCAAATTTCCCTACTACTAGCTTCGCAAACTATCAACAAAGTACTTACAGTCATAAGTATATTGCCGGCTACGTAAACGAATGCCATCAGTGTGAAATCAGGCATTTTCTCCTGGTTGATTAATCTGAATATCAAAAAATTAACAATGTAACTATTACATTAAACACTATAATTGTGTTGATGGTGTAATAAGGGCCTACTGTTTACATTGTGTTGCTGGTGTGTTGATGGCCTACTGTTTACATTGTGTTGTCGGCGTGATGAGGGCCTATTGTTTACATTGTATTGTTGGTGAGATGATGGCCTACTGTTTACATTGTGTTGTTGATGTGATAAAGGCCTACGATTTACATTGTGCTGATGGTGTGATGATGGCCTACTATTTACATTGTGTTGTTGGTGAAATGATGGCCTACTGTTTACATTGTGTTGTTGGTGAAATGATGGCCTATTGTTTACATTGTGTTGCTGGTGTGATGATGGCCTACTGTTTACATTGTGTTGATGGTGTGATGAGGTCCTACTGTTTACATTGTGTTGATGGTGTGATGATGGCCTACTGTATACATTGTGTTGATGGTGAGATGATATCCTACTGTTTACATTGTGTTGATGGTGTGATGAAGTCCTACTGTTTTCATTGTATTGTTGGCGTGATGATGGCCTCCTATTTACATCGTGTTTACACTGTGTTGTTGGTGTGATGATGGCCTACTGTTTACATTGTGTTGTTGGTGTGATGATTGCCTACTGTTTACATTGTGTTGATGGTGTGATGATGGCCTACTGTTTACATTGTGTTGTTGGTTAGATGATGGCCTACTGTTTACATTGTGTTGATGGTGAGATGATATCCTACTGTTTACATTGTGTTGTTGGTGTGATGGGTCCTACTGTTTACATTGTGTTGTTGGTGAAATGATGGCCTACTGTTTACATTGTGTTGCTGGTGAGATGATATTCTACTGTTTACATTGTGTTGATGGTGAGATGTTATCCTACTGTTTACATTGTGTTGTTGGTGTGATGGGTCCTACTGTTTACATTGTGTTGATGGTGAGATGATATTCTACTGTTTACATTGTGTTGTTAGTGTGATGATGGCCTACTGTTTACATTGTGTTGATGGTGTGATGATAGTCTACTGTTTACATTGTGTTGTTGGGGTGATGGGTCCTACTGTTTACATTGTGTTGTTGGTTTGATGGGTCCTACTGTTTACATTGTGTTGATGGTGTGATGATAGTCTACTGTTTACATTGTGTTGTTGGTATGATGAAGGCCTACTGTTTACATTGTGTTGGTGGTAAGATGATGGCCTACTGTTTACATTTTGTTGTTAGTTAGATGATGGCCTTCTGTTTACATTGTGTTGATGGTGAGATGATATTCTACTGTTTACATTGTGTTGTTGGTGAGATGATATCCTACTGTTAAACATTGTGACGCCGGAATGACGAGGGCCTACTGTTTACATTGTGTTGTTGGTATGATGAGGGCCTACTGTTTACATTGTGTTGTTGGTGTGATGATGGCCTACTGTTTACATTGTGTTGTTAGTTAGATGGTGGCCTACTGTTTACATTGTGTTGATGGTGTGATGATGGCCTACTGTTTACATTGTGTTGTTAGTTAGATGATGGCCTACTGTTTACAATGTGTTGATGGTGAGATGATGTCCTACTGTTTACATTGAATTGATGGCGTGATGATGGCCTACTGTTTACATTGTGTTGTTGGTGTGATGAAGTCCTACTGTTAACATTGTGTTGATGGCGTAATGAAGTTCTGCTTTTTACATTGTGTTGTTGGTGAGTTGACATCCTACTGTCAAACATTGTGACGACGGAATAACGAGGGCCTACTGTTTACATTGTGTTGTTGGTGTGATGGGGCCTACTGTTTACATTGTGTTGTTGGTTAGATTATGGCCTACTGTTTACATTGTGTTGTTGGTTAGATGATGGCCTACTGTTTACATTGTGTTGTTGGTGTAATGGGGCCTACTGTTTACATTGTGGTGTTGGTGCGATGATGTCCTACTGTTATCATTGTGTTGATGGTGAGATGATGGCCTACTGTTAACATTGTGTTGTTGGTGTGATGGGTCCTACTGTTTACATTTTATTGTTGGTGTGAAGGGGCCTACTGTTTACATTGTGTTGTTGGTGCGATGATGGCCTACTCTTTACATTGTGTTGATGGTGAGATGTGGCCTACTGTTTACATTGTGTTGTGGGTATGATGAGGGCCTGCTGTTTAGATTGTGTTGTTGGTGTGATGAGGTCCTACTGTTAACATTGTGTTGATGGTGTGATGGGGCCTACTATTTACATTGTGTTGTTGGTATGATGAGGGCCCGCTGTTTACATTGTGTTTTTGGTGTGATGGGGCCTATTGTTTACATTGTGTTGTTGGTGAGATGATATCCTACTGTTAAACATTGTGACGACGGAATGACGACGGCCTACTGTTTACATTGTGTTGTTGGTATGATGAGGGCCTGCTGTTTACATTGTGTTGTTGGTGTGATGGGGCCTACTGTTTACATTGTGTTGATGGTGTGATGAAGTCCTACTGTTTTCATTGTATTGTTGGAGTGATAATGGCCTCCTATTTACATTGTGTTTTTTGTGTAATGATGGCCTACTCTTTACATTGTGTTGTTAGTGTGATGATGGCCTACTGTTTACATTGTGTTGTAGTTGATGTGTTGATGGCCAACTGTTTACATTGTGTTGATGGTGTGATGAAGTCCTACTGTTTTCATTGTATTGTTGGCGCGATGATGGCCTCCTATTTACATTGTGTTTTTTGTGTAATGATGGCCTACTCTTTACATTGTGTGGTAGTTGATGTGATGATGGCCTACTATTTACATTGTGTTGATGGTGTGATGAAGTCCTACTGTTTTCATTGTATTGTTGGAGTGATAATGGCCTCCTATTTACATTGTGTTTTTTGTGTAATGATGGCCTACTGTTAACATTGTGTTGTTAGTGTGATGGGGCCTATTGTTTACATTGTGTTGATGGTGAGATGAAGTCCTACTGTTTTCATTGTATTGTTGGCGTGATGATGGCCTCCTATGTACATTGTGTTTACATTGTGTTGTTGGTGTGATGGGGCCTACTGTTTACATTGTGTTGATGGCGTGATGATGGCCTACTGTTTACACTGTGTTGTTAATGTGATGATGGCCTACTGTTTACATTGTGTTGTTGGTGCGATGATGGCCTACTGTTTATATTGTATTGTTGGTTAGATGATGGCCTACTGTTTACATTGTGTTGATGGTTAAATGATGTCCTACTGTTTACATTGTGTTGATGGCGTGATAATGGCCTACTGTTAACATTGTGTTGTTAGTGTGATGATGGCCTACTGTTTACACTGTGTTGTTGGTGTGATGAGGGCCTACTGTTTACATTGTGTTGATGGTGTGATGAAGTTCTGCTTTTTACATTGTGTTGTTGGTGAGATGAGATCCTGATGTTAAAAATTTTGACGACGGAATGACGAGGGCCTACTGTTTACATTGTGTTATTGGTGTGATGGGGCCTACTGTATACATTGTGTTGTTGGTTAGATAATGGCCTACTGTTAACATTGTGTTGTTGGTGTAATGGGCCCTACTGTTCACATTGTGTTGTTGGTGCGATGATGGCCTACTGTTAACATCGTGTTGATGGTGAGATGATGGCCTACTGTTAACATTGTGTTTTTGGTGTGATGGGGCCTACTGTTTATATTGTATTGTTGGTGTGATGGGGCCTAGTCTTTACATTGTGTTGATGGTGAGATGATGGCCTACTGTTAACATTGTGTTGTTAGTGGGATGGGGCCTATTGTTTACATTGTGTTGATGGTGAGATGAGAGACTACTGTTAACATTGTGTTGTTAGTGTGATGGGGCCTATTGTTTACATTGTGTTGATGGTGAGATGAGAGACTACTGTTAACATTGTGTTGATGGCGTAATGAAGTTCTGCTTTTTACATTGTGTTGTTGGTGTGATGATGGCCTACTGTTAAACATTTTGACGACGGAATGACGAGGGCCTACTGTTTACATTGTGTTGTTGGTATGATGGGGCCTACTGTTTACATCGTGTTGATGGTGAAATGATGGCCTACTGTTTACATTGTGTTGATGGTGGGATGATGGCCTACTGTTTACATTGTGTTGTGTTTTCTAAGGCCTCCCGTCTAACTATATTGATTGTGTGATGATGGTTTACTGCTTTCACTGCATTGATGGTGTGATTAGGACTTACTGTTTACATTGTGATGATGAGGTTGCTTTTTACCTGTTGTTGACGAACTTCCTGAGAATGGTTCGAAATAGTCCATGATCTTTGATATCAATTCCTTTATTCAAATTCGTTGATACTCTTTTATAGATTCGATCTGCTAGACCCATAACGACTATCTGTAAAAGAGGACTCCAATTATTAACATTACCATCATCGTATGGCATCTAAAATAGTGCCGAAAGTAACTGACCATTCAATTGCGTTTTAATTTATAAATACGATTTACAAGGTGAATTAAGATTCCGCAGGAGCTTCCACAGCAGATGTCAACTACTGGTTCTATACCTGCTGGTCAAAAGCTTCCAAAGTATACACGATTGCCTGTTTGCTTGAGGCGTATAGATGATACTGCAATACTGTGCTTCCATGTTGTTTAGGTCACAACACTGAGACTGAAGCACCAAACACTTTTTAACCATGATATATAACATACAACATTTTGATATAGCGCCCTATTTAGCTAACATAAGCCACTCTAAAGCGCTTTACAGTACATAGATATAGCTTATATACTTAACAAGGTTATTGTTGTTGTTTGGGCGGGATGAATACATATGCTAGACTTAATTTGAACTCGAAAACATTGAGTAAAGTACTCATCTCACATGCGGTCTACGTAAAAGACGCAATACAACATGAACTAGTACTAATTGTAACGGATGGCCGTTACAGAAGTCCCCCAACCCCTGTTGGACTTTGGTAAAATCAGACAACAGCTAAATTGCGATCAATGAAAGGACTCCGTTTTGTTACCATGGCAACTGAGTTGTTCGAAAATGTTAATATTGTGTTCTGCATCCTTTCAAACCCCTATGTACCAATTCTGGGCAGATTCAGACCACAGCTAAATTTCGACCAATCAAAGGCCTCTATTTCATTACCATGGCAACTAAATTTTTCGAAACTGTTACCATTGTGTTTGGCATCCCTCAAAACCCCTATGTACCAATTCCGGGGAGAATCAGACAACATCTATATTTCGACCAATCAGAACCAGTATATGGCAGCCATTTTGTTTAATTA